GGCCGCATTCTGGACCAGTTGGAGTCTCCGGGTGCTCCTCAAAGGGAGCCCCATGTAGAGAGCATTACAGTAGTCCAGGCGAGAGGTGACGAGAGCATGAGTGACTGTGCGCAAGGCGTCCCGGTCCAGAAAAGGTCGCAACTGGTGAATCAGGCGGACCTGATAAAACGCCCCCCTGGTCACGGCCGACAAATGGTCTCTTCCTCCTTCCTCTCAGTCACAGGCCAGGTCCTGTCTATTTCTGTTACAGAGAAAGCACAAACCACTGAGCAGCGCTATGTAAAGCTAAAGGAAAAGTACAGCGAGCTGGTGCAGAATCATGCGGACCTCCTGCGCAAGGTAATGCTGCATTACTTCCCTCCATTGTTCAATGCTGAGAGTAAACTAGGGGTCATCTCGCCTGGCTCTGCGCGTTGAAATAGGATTGTTCGCTGATTGCAAAGCAAAAAGCCTGTGAAATGAGTTAAGGTTAAACCCTTATTAGCCGTTGACATACTGTCACAAGAGATTTGAGACAGTCTGGGTCTCTATAGGCCTCTTTGCCATCCTCTGTAGAAAGATACACTAAGTAATATATTTTTCATTCACTTAGACAACCAATTATAGTTTTAATTAAATCTGTTAAAGAAAGTCTAGAAAAACAACAGTCAGGCAAAGATGGAAAGAGGGAGGGATATATTTTTGAACTAGGCTAAGTAAAATTTGAAAGAGATCTGCAAAATCTTCCAAATATTAATCAGAAACCAAAAGGACTCAAGAAAAAGTTCTGTTGAATATGACGCTTCTCCAGGAACCTTCAGCATAGCACATGTGCTCCAACTGGAAGAGTTGCTAGAATTCCCCAAAAAACTTTTACAAGGTGAAGAGGCAAGGAAAATGTTATTTGTTTATTTGTCTTCTGCCTTTATTAGTTTTATAAATAACGCAAGCAATGAACATACATAACATTCCTTCCTCCTCTTATTTTCTTCATAACAACAGCCCTGTGAGATGGGTTGGATTGAGAGAGAATGATGGGGCCAAAGTTATCCAGCTGGCTTTGATGCCTAAGGCAGGCCTATAGCCAATGGTCTCCCAGTTTTTAACCTGATGCCTTAACTACTAGACCAAACTGGACACTCCCTTTGGACTGTCCCATAAGGTAGGAGGACTCCACTTATTAGGACAATGATGACCAGTGGCTAAAACCTCCCTTTCTTTCCTTGCCTTCCTGTGCTGGCCTTTAGAATGCTGAAGTCACCAAGCAGGTGACTATGGCAAGACAGATCCAAAGTGACACAGAGCGAGACAAGAAAGAGCTTGAGGACTCCTTTCAGCGGTTGAGTGAGCAAGCCCAGCGAAAGGTAAAGAGATGTCAAGAGAAGTAGAAAGATCATCATTTTTCTTAGAAGAGAAATGGAATTCAGGATGATAGTGGTAGGAATATAGAAAATGGTAGAGGGAGCTGTTTGGGAAAAGCACACAATCATTTTTTGATGCTCCTATCATTTTCTCTGTAGACACAGGAACAGGCAGAGATCTTGGAAACATTGAAGAGAGAGCTAATTGCCAACAAACAGGAGCTTCAATGTCTCCAGAGCATTGTTGATTCCACTGCACAGGTGGGTCTTTCCTTACCGTTCTGTGATAAGTATAACCATAAAAGAGCAGGACCCCAGCAAACATTCTAAAAGTAGAAATGAGCAGAAACAAAAACCAGAGGCATGTGGAATGAAATAGAAAATTAGATGACTCAGTTAGAAAGAGAGGACCAAACACAAATAGCCAATGGCATCCCTGGGGTTCTGGCTGCCATTTTGTATGCTTTCTTTGGAACTGGTATACTCAAAGGGAAAAGAAGATTCCAGTTCTCCTCCACTCTCCTCCCTTGCCTATCTAGTCTGAAGCAGAGCACACCACTCAACTGGCTGCCCAGAAGCAAGAGAAAGATATTCTCACTGAGACCATGGCTCAGCGTGATCAGCAGATGGCAGCTTTGGAAGCAGAAGTAGAGCAGTTAAAGGCTACACTTGAAAAAGAAAAAGAATACAGCAGTAAGACAATCCAGGAGTTGCAGAACTGCTTGGGGGAAACAGTAAGTTGGCTGTGATTACATGGATAGTATGTTACTGAGAGAGTCCAGAACCAACTTTCCGTCAAACCATGGAAGATCTGAAATATTCTCAGCCTCTTCTCATTTGGGATTTTAGATTCTTTCCAGACCCAGCAGAGAAGATGGTCAAGGACACAGATTTATTTATTCCGAAGTTCTCTTCAACATTCTATCATTTTAGTGATTTTTCTGACTAATTGAGCCTTAGTCTTGAAATGCACCAATATTTTAGTCCTGTTTCCTGTTGTGAAGTGAATGGAATGGGCATTCCATTCCATATTATTTTAAATGCAATTATATAATTTTATATCTTCTATGAGCCTCACCAACCACAATCCATTTAATTTGCAAGCCATCCCAAGAGAAGATATACCTGGTTCACTGATACTTTGCATCACTGTGTCTCTTCCTTTGCTCTTAGGAAGGCAACACACAGGCTCTTCAGCAGGAGCTCCTGGACAAACAGTTTGTACTCCTTCAGTGTGCTGTGAAAGAGGCTGAACAGATGGTACAGGATGCTCTCAATCAACTTGAAGACCCCACTCATATCAGTAGCACAAGCTCTGCAGGTTAGCAGTCAGGGTTAAAATGATGTGTAAAACCAGATGCTGTTTCCTTCCCTACTAAAATGTCTAATTTAAAAATGGATATAGTTGTGTATATGTATCACATCAAATTGTGCTTCAAGTTGTACTTCTTAGAAGAGCTTATGTAATGCATACTTCTGTTGTTGCATAGATTACCTTTTATCAAGGACTCGTGCAGCTTCTGAATGTGTGGAGCGGCTACAGGAAGCATGCAGCCAATACCTTTCTGACCAGTCAGGTGAGACATTCATAACTACACCAGTTGAACAGCCAGTGTACATATCAAGCATGCAGATAGAAAGCCCTGACAGCATATACTATTAAAGCATTCCTGAATTGCTGGACTCTCTTGCCTGTAACATTTTGAAATGAAAGATGGAAAAAAGCATACATCACTGTGTCTTTCATGTGGCATTAAAAAAAACATTGGTGAGCCTAAGCAGATTTCATGTGTTTCACCCTTGTCCATTTTGGTTCAAAAGGTTCAGGATTTTGTTAACATTCCCTTAATTTGGGTGCTGTCTTTTTGCTTCTAGATGTGAGCAGTTTGTTATCATGTGTGCCTCTTTTTGCTCACCTGATTGGTGATGCCATTCTGCAGGCTAGTGCCACATCGCACAGGGCCCCCATGGAATCCGCTGATTGTGAGTATACATGGCAGAGGGCCTGATTAGTTAAGGGGCTATCTGTCTTCCATTGTTTCTTCCAGGCCTGTAAAACTGGGTAGAATTGACATGCTTCAGGTTCTTTCCATTAAGCAGTGTTGCCTGATGGAACCTAGAAAACATGCCTTCTCTGTCACATTACCTCTGGAACATCTCTTTTGAGATACATCTGGCCCCCACCCTGGCTATGTTCAAAAGAATTCTGAAAACATGGCTTCTTTCTTAGGCCTTGAGTGGTGGGTCCTGTGTGTTCTATTGTTTTTGAGTGGTTGTTCTTCCAGATGTTGTGTTTTTAATTGTATATCAGAAATGATTGACTGTGTGCTAGCCAGAATCATCATAGATACACAGATACACACACATACTTGTTGATTGCATGTTTACATGCGTGCGTTCATGCATATACAGTACACACACATCCATATCTATGTATATCTGGGGCAGAAGAGATGTAAGAATCTTTTAGGTCATACGTGTGAGATTAATCCTTTCTTTGCATGCTTCCAGTGCTGTTAGAGACCAGCAAGCAATGTGGGAATGAGACCTTGCACTACCTGGGAATGCTGAAAGACAAAGCTACTTTGGAAAGTGCTGACTGCACTGCTGTCAGGAATTGTCTCAACCAGATGACTGCAATTGGACAGGTGAGATACCCCATGGCATAAGGAAGGATAAGAAGCAGGATTCCTTGTCTGAGCCAGGGGCAGCTATCCAGATCAGTGAGCCTACTATATCAGTGGTGGTGAACCTATGGCACGGGTGCCAGAGGCGGCACTCAGAGCCGTCGCCCCAGTCCTAGGCCTTCAGCTGGGTTTTATAAAACCTTTTCGCTTTAGGCCTCTGCTGCCGTGCGCAAAAAAAAAAAAGGTTCAATCAGTCAATTTCAACTTCTCGTGGGAAAAAAAAAGATCTTGCAAAGTTGGAATTGATTGATTGAACTTTTTAGTCCCACCCAGTCTGCCTTTACCACCGCAGCCACGCCCACCCATTGGGCCACACCCACCCAATGGGCCACACCCACCCAGCACCCAACGATGCATAAGTGGGTTTTGGGTTGCAGTTTGGGCACTCGGTCTCTAAAAGGTTCGCCATCACTGTACTATATTATCCACTGAAGAGAAATCTCTCTTTGGGGAGCTTTGAGCTCCTCTTTTGCTACAGTAGAAGATTCCTGTGAAGACAGGAGGAACAAGGGGAAAGGAGTGTATTATCTTTCAATCTGCAGGAACTGCGGCCCAAAGGCTTGGATGTTGAGGAAGAGAAACTGGGAGATCTGGTTGATGAAGAGATGGCAGCGACGGCAGCAGCCGTTGAGACAGCAGCTGCCAGGATTGAGGTGAGATGCAGCAATGTTAGATTCTCGCTCTGCCCCACCCCCTCATGTGAAATTACTTTAGAAAGAATTTTCAGCTTGAGAAATTAGAGTTTATTTGCAGTTCCATGTCTTGGAAGAATGGGTTCTGGGGTTAAGATCTAAGTGGAAATGGTTTCCCATTGCTGTTTGAGATATTGAATGTGTTAATCTGAACTCTGACCCCATCCCTCCCCCTTGTTGAAACAGGAAATGCTGAATAAATCACGAGCAGGGGACAGAGGAGTAAAGTTTGAGGTCAACGAGAGGTTGGTATTAAAGGCTGGCACTGATGTCTTCAGATATTAGGTTCCTCCTGCTGCTTATAAAGAAGTTTGAACCTGGTGAGTTTACATGTTGGGGAAATTATGAGGGAGAGGGAGCATGACAACATCTGCCATGCATTTTTCCCCACATGGCATTTACAGTATTTGAAAACTGGGCTGAATTGCTTTGTCCATTTAGCATCTCTTATTCCTGTGCTTGTCTAATGGATTGCAGGCCCACATATGCCCTTGCAACCTCCCTCTCATTATTCGCATTGGGACACCAAGGAAAAGTCAAACAAGCAGCAGCTCTGTTTATCTCCTTCTCCAAACTCCTAGCATTTTTGAATCTCTCAAAATAGGAGAGAAGGACTAATGCAGAATTCCCATAGGTTAAAGCAGAGATTTTTTAAAAACATCAGTAGCTTATTTCCTGGAGAAGACTCCTGCGAGTCCCTTGGACTGCAGTCCTAGAAGAGGTCAACCCTGACTGCTCTTTAGAAGGCCAGATCCTGAAGTTGAAACTCAAATACTTTGGCCACCTAATGAGAAGGAAGGACTCACTGGAGAAGAGCCTAATGCTGGGAAAGATTGAGGGCAATAGAAGAAGGGGACGACAGAGAATGAGGTGGCTGGATGGAGTCACTGAAGCAGTAGGGGTGAGCTTAAATGGACTTCAGAAGATGGTAGAGGACAGGAAGACCAGGAACGTTGTCCATGGGGTCACAATGGGTCGGACACGACTTCGCAATTAACAACAACAAGCTCATTTCCTACTCACACATGCAGTTTTATCAATTACATTTTTTAGGATACACAATTGTAGAAGGGAAAGACAAGCCTCCTGCTGTCACCCTAGTTGAAGTATTTAATTGCATTACTAAAGAGATTAAGCTCTGCCAAAACCATCAGAAAAATGCTTTTGGGAATCCTACAGTAGGATTACTCCATTTGAACTGAAGTCTGTCTTCTCCTGTTACCATTGGTTTTGTATCTTGCAGAATTTTGGGGTCCTGCACAGACTTAATGCAGGCCATCCAAGTTTTGGTGTTGGCTTCCAAGGACCTCCAACAAGAGATTGTGGAGAGCGGAAGGGTGAGTCTGTACTAGTCTTGTAACACCTGCTCTACTGTCACCACAACTTATTTTTATGAAAAAATATACCAGCAATCATGGTAGTGCCGATTAAAGGTAAAGCGGGCAAACATACTAATCTCACTAAATGACAGAGCTAATGAAGCCTCCTGCTGTTCATTTATTTATTGAATTGTGTAATAAGATTGGATGGCAGACTTAAGTATTAATATTTTAATTTATATTAGATTTTTATCCCTCTTCTATTTGGTCAACACAAGGTGGCATACATAAAAAAATTTTCTATTTTCCCCACAACATCATCCCTGTGAGATGGTTGGAGCTGAGAGAGGCCCAAAGTACTTGTCTAAGGGAGGACAGTCTCCTGGTTTCTAGCCCAGCTCCTTAGCCACTAAACTGGTTGCCTCTATATATTTTACTTATAACACTTAGATGTGATTCCTTTTCTTCTGCAGGGAGCAGCATCCCCCAAAGAATTCTATGCCAGAAATTCCCGTTGGACAGAGGGCCTGATTTCTGCTTCCAAGGCTGTAGGCTGGGGAGCAACTGTGATGGTGTAAGTTTCTGCAGCATGGCCCCAGCCAATTGTGGCATTGTCATGTTGCCGTTCAAGTTATGGACAAACATCTGTGCACTGTTGCTTTGAGTCACGGCTAGAAGAGTGAAAGAAAAGGATTCACTGTTCATTTGTATTTGTCTCCATAGAGATGCTGCTGACCTTGTAGTTCAAGGGAACGGGAAGTTTGAAGAACTCATGGTTTGTTCGCATGAAATTGCAGCAAGCACAGCTCAGCTTGTTGCTGCTTCAAAGGTAGGCTTTTTCACAGAGAAATTCAGTGCTAGAGGATGTAATTAATGACTATTCAAAGTAATGAGTTTTTACTAGGTGAAGGAATTGTTTCTTGAACATCAAAGAAGGGCTTTTAGTCTGGGAGCTATTCCATTACTTTTTACCTATTGTCAGAAACAAATTGCAGAGGTGAATGGATCTGTGCTCCCTCAAAATAGAGGAAGTTTGGTTCCGATGCTTTCTTGGCTTATGGTCTCATAGCTCCATGCCAATCATTGGAAGGATTCCCTGCTGTTACCATTTTCTGTGGACTAGTCTACTTCCATTAATGGTTATAATGACTGAGACATTCTGGGAGTAAAAATCCACGTGTTCTGGATGTTGCCAAATTGAAGAAGATTGTTGAACAAAAACTATAATAAAGTTTTCTGGAAACACAATTTCGGTATCTTGAAAACATGGAATTTGGGATAGATGGATAGACAGACAGACAGAGAGACAAACAGACAGACAAAAAATAAGACAAATTGGGATGGACAGAAGCACTTTTTTGGTCATTTTGTTTTAGATAATGGTACTGCCCTAGTATCACCCCATATGCTTATGATTAATTATTGAATGTTGTTTTCAGTACCTCCCTGTCTCTCCTGTTTGTCTGCAGGAGCTTTGTCTTTTTTTTTTTTTTTTTTTAAACAGATTTCAAAGTTT